TCTCACCGACCCTTCTGCTCCCTTGTCACTGATCAGCCCCAGACTTTTGCCCTCCCTGTCAGCTTTTAGGCTGCAGAGTTATCTCTCATGTTTGCTCTGCATGACTTCTTGTGCACAGCTCTCCACTCAAATCTCTCACATGGTCAGCCTTTGTCGTTCATTGTTTAATGAGTATATCAGTCACAGCTCAGAACTGCAGATGATACAGGATAATCTGCAGCAGAAAATTTTAATTTACCCTAAACTTCACAGATTAAATTGGGTAGAACTTTTTCTTGGATCCCACTTGACTTATTAGTGTTAGATTGATTTAGACTTTCCCACTCATTTTTGTTTCTCGAAAAGTAACAAAAATGAATAAATAAAGCAATTTTGTTCATTATAGCACGGTATTCAGATTTAATTTCTGTTGTCATAAAGCTGAACAGGACAAGGTATAAAAAAAGGGCTTTCCCACTCGTTAAAAACTGAGGTGAAGACACGACTGATGTGGATTGTTATTGTTGTTATAGGTTTGACGCTGTGCAGCAAATATTGCTGTTTTATAATCTAATTCCTCCAGCCGTGTGGCCCTGGCTTTATGTCGAGCAGGCACCACCGACTATTCACATAGAGGTGAAGGGAAATAAGGGTAATACCACTTAGAGGTCTGGGATTTTCCCTCAATTCAGAGTCTGTTCAGTCTTAAAGTAATCTGTAGTAAGTCATTTCTCACATGCTGCTTAGAGGAATTTGAACGTGCCAGTCATGTGTTCTTCACAGTCCCTCCTTGTAAACTTTTGCTGAATACCACCTTAAAGACAGGGAAACATATTGTCTTTATTTTGGTGTGGTTAGGTTTGGGGGGGGGTGGGGGTCACAGCCTCTAGCAGACGGCGACTACTGCAGTTTCTTCTGTAAAGTCTAGCTTGGACAGTTTCTATGGTAACCCACCCACAGGAGTATGAACGACCATAGAAGAGACTGGGGTTGCTAGGTCTGTGGATAATGAAGAGACTTTGATTTTTCTGTTACTCCCACACAGCAAAGGGAGATGATACAGTGGCTGTAACCAAACAGTTTAATCAAGTATTTCTGCAAGTGGCCGCTCGAAGTCTTTGCAACCAGGGTGCCTAATTGTGCTTGAGGTCATGCAGCAGTGGTTATGGGCTTGGTTAACTGAACTGAAATAGCCCTTCAAATTCCACCATAGCTCAATGTCTTCATGGTTGGATTCACATGTGTGCGTCTCTTGTAGTTTGAACACAGTTGTCTCGTGTTCTGAGTTTGACGCAGCAGCGCATGTCTTTGTTCTTTTCCTGCAGTCTCATGCTCCTCTGTGGCATTCAGTGAGCAAACACCCAGTTGTTCATGCAGCTCAGTCCATTCCTGTGTTTCCGCTGATTGGGTTAGCAGCATATGACATTCATTAATGCCTGCAGCAGTCTTTTATTTGTGCCCTGTATGATAAAACAAGGGTTTCTTATGTGCCATTCTTTTATAGAGTAGTTATGAAATACTGCTCATTGTGAAAGAAATTTAAAAAAAGGAAGTGATGAATTCCATTTTGATGTTTTATGTAAATGTGTCATTCTGTGAGTGGAAAGGAAGCACAGCATCAGTACAGCTGAGCCCAACTTTGACTTTTAACTTATCCTGTGCTTTAATCCAACTTTGTATCTGTGAATCTGTCTCATTGCTGGCAGGAGGATGTCAGGATTTGTTAGGCCACAAGAAAAGGAAATCAATATCACCACAAACCCTTAAAGGTTACACAAATCAGTTGATCAGTAGTGCATTCATCAAGACCAAAGATAATTGTGAGTAGGTTTTATTCTAACAAGCTGAATAGCAGATAATGTGTGCAGTTAATCTGATAAAGGCAAAAATGGTGGTAGAATTTAAATGTGATACTTGAAAGGTTAAGGGATCATGGGGTTCTCCATAATTCCCTAAATGAATGATTGTTATGGAAAGCACAGTTCCTCATCATAATGCAAAATGTTACGTTAGCATATTTACCTGTGTAAACATTTTTTTAAAACGTTGTCAAAAAGGGATTTTATTCATATGTTTATCTTTTCATTTTTGTGTATTTTCTCTTAATTCGGTTTGGCGACCTATCCAACATCCCAGAATAAAAACTACGTGCTCCTGTCAGTCTGGAAGTTTTTCGCATTTGGAAAGCTGCAAGTTTTAGCCACTGTTGCTATGCAGGTTGGTCACAGCCTTGCTACTTTCATTTTGCTTACTGAACCGTGCCAGACTACATTCTTTTTTCCCTTAGTTCAGCATTTGTGGAAAAACAAACATCTCCATTCTGGCATATTTATTGCGCTTGGATTATTATTAAGAGGGAGGTTTCTTGAAAATGACGAGGTCCTTATCTCTTTATATATTCTGTCCTGGCCTGCAGTCTTCTGGGTGATGAGCTGTAGAAGACCTGGAAATGGAAGCCTTATTTCGGTCCATCGGCTCTTTATCCCACTGTGTCTTGTCTCTGGTGAATTCACCTGGGGTTCTATTGGCTAAAATTAGACTCTCAATTATGAGCAATTAGCGTCAGGCCTGTGGGCCCCACAGTGTATTCACTCTCTGGCTCACACCCGCACTGCACCACACCACTCCAGTTCCTCGCGTGTGAAGGTAGGTGTCTGCAACAATGTGAAAGTATGCACTTCCTCAATTCTTAGCTTAGCTCATTTTCTGTTTTGCGTCAGAGCTGTGGTAATGCATTGTGCACTTACACTTGCCCGGTAGGCTTTTTTAAATAGGAGCAATGTAGCATAAATATGCGCTAAATCCATCACATGCTACCTCAAGACATTGGAAGCCTGCTGTAATTGCATGGACTTAATCTAATCACTGCTCTGCGGCAGAAATAAAAGAAAGAAATGCATGAAAAAATTGTGGTCCTGCCGCATATTAAAACATAGGACTGTAATTTGCCGTTAGAAGATCCTCAGTGCTGTTGTGGGAGACGGATTGCTCTAATTGGAGCACTAAAATCAATTTTCTGTATGTTTATTACTGAAACTCCTCCATTATGTGATTGTATGAATATGCTTAAAATACACCCTTGCTCTGGATTCTGAGTCATACCACCTGTACTGGCACACAGCCCATCTGAAAACAGGAATGTTGTTTAGATCTTATGCAAGACCTTTTTCAAACACATTTTTATATAAAAAGAATGTCGCTGTTATCAGGGCCTCGTTTAAAGCTGGACTCCAATTGGTTGGTAAGTAGAGATTGACACAAAAGCACATTAGTGCATTCACAGCAATGATCATTAATTGAGAATTTTTTTATCATAATGTGAGGCTTTAACATAATAAGATATTTTGTCCCATCTTTGTTTTTTCTGACATTACACTGGGACATGATTTTTATAACCCTGCGCTATAGGACCACAAACAAACACATCACCATGGTCATTTATCTTGAATAGCTTACATACACATGCAGCCTTCATCGTTTTAAAAACATCCTGTTAATGTGACACTGCTGCCTTTGATTTTATTCTTACACCATTGAGGAGGTACAGTGGCCTGTAACATCATTATAAAGCATGCATAGACCATTACATAGTAATCTGTTTCGCTTTAATTTTGGATTATCACAACCATTCCTATAAAAAACAAAAACAAACCAACAATGTTCTAGTAGTCCCTCAGCAGCACAAAATCTGGTGCCTTTTTTCCTCACTTAGCGACGAATGAAAAACACTGCAGCATGGGTCTTTTTTTCTTTTCATTACTGGGAACATGTGCTGCAGAATTTCACCTTGAAAAAAGAAAAACAAGAGGCTCAATTCCCTAGTTATTCCCTTATTTTTTTTAAAAGTGAAAGTATCCATTGTTGATCTGATGTCAAAGATTTCTGACTTCAGCAGAAATGCTTGTGAAGCAGCAAAGAGCAGACACACTCTTGGGTGTTGAGGTCTTTGCTTGATAAAATCTCTTTATTTTTCTGATAGTGGACATATAGCTTAGCATCAGCTTAGCTGCTGGTTTATATTATCTTCAGAAGACAGTCATGTAATCCGAAGACAGGTGTCAAGGAATGTTTCAATGAAATAAGCATGCTTGAAAATATGTTTTCAACCAATTGCCTCCTTGTTTTCTAAGAGCTAAACTTCCACTGCTGATCATTGATTCAGTTCCCCTCAGAGCTACTGCTCTGTACACCTCACTGAGCAACGATTGTAAAATGAAACGTGGACAGAATTCTGTTCCTGAAATGATTTTCAGAACTCTAGAGTGTATTTCCTCATTAAAGTTTCATTTCTAATTTACCAATTTCAGTATGGGCGCTTAAGACCAGGAAGATTTAGTAGTGTTTATTCTCATCAAATATTTATTTAAGCTATCTTCCATTTTTTTGGAGGGATCCTATTTTTGTTGAAAATAAAAAATAAAATAAAACGCCAGATGATTTTGTGTTAAGTAAAAGAATGGAGGTGGATTCTTTTCTCTTGCTGCTTAGTTTTAAGGAAACTAATCTCTTACTGAGAAAAAGTCTGAAGGTTAATCATCGAGAATAGGATGCACATCCTACAGCAACTGTAATCCCGCTAGATTCCCCTTTATGAAACTCTCAAATTTAGACTGAATTACTTCAGAGAAGGGGTCATATTATTGTGATGGATTTGTTTTAGCACTCACTTTGTCCAGATTAAGCCTAAGGAAAATGGAAGGAAAGAAGGCTGAACAAGAATAAGTTTTCCCTTCATCATTTTCAGGAGAATCATTGTGTAGTTCGCATTTAGTCGTGGCAAAGAATAGGGAATTGAGAAAGGAATGTGACTTGAATGCCTAATGTTCAAACATTTAGCTGCAGTAATAAGACATTAACTAATTCAAATATGTTAGCCCATCTGCTTGTGTTGGATTCATTACGCCCACATGATTTGAGAACTTTGTTCAAAACTCAAACTTGTATCCCTTCTCTGGCTTTTGGCTGCTTGGTTACATGGTCCATCTAATTCTCTTTTTTTCTCTTTTTTTCTCCCTCCAGGGCAGGAACGGTTTGGGAACATGACGCGGGTGTACTACAAAGAGGCTGTGGGGGCATTTGTTGTCTTTGATGTGACGAGAGGTGCCACATTTGAAGCTGTGTCTAAGTGGAAGCACGACCTCGACAGTAAGGTGAAGCTGGCTAATGGCAACCCCATCCCCTCAGTCCTCCTGGCCAATAAATGTGACCAGAAGAAAGAGAGCTCGAACAACATGGCGCTAATGGACAATTTCTGCAAAGAGACTGGCTTCCTGGGCTGGTTTGAAACTTCAGCTAAGGTGAGCTTTGGAACCTTAAACGCAGACACGATGCACAGAATTGTATCTTTTAAGAAAATGTTAGCTTTTTAACATAATTCAAGACACTACAGCAACCCTCTGTTGAACGGTTGCCTATGAAATATCCGAGCCTGTCGCATGGAACAGTGGCTAAAACGGTATATAACTAAGCAAATCACTCCCAAGAAGCATATTTTTAAAAGAAAGCCATCTTTTCTTACACTTCTACACAGCTCCCTTATCTCTGGATAATTTCTCAAAGAATTAAAGTCAATAAAAAAGATGGCATTTTTTTTAATATTATGAGGCTAAATTGTCTTCTGAAGTATCCTGTATCCTCAGATGTGATTAGTGCTGGTCTCAAATCTTATTTTACACATGAATGTGACTTGTGTTTTCAGCAAATCAGATGTGGTAAGAGATTTACAAACGTCCACATAACCCACTAAAAGTCTTTGGACTTCTTGCTATTTTCTGAGTGGCTTGTTTACTTCCCTTTGTGTATCTGGAAGGGAAGCCCAGTCTCTCCTGAATGTTGAAATCCTACAGGGCTTATTGTGAAACACATGTTGTATTGGTTTCGTCAGACTTTGCAGCAGTTAGAGTTTATGATCATAAAAAGTTTTTTATATCAAACACTCGGAGTTAAGTGGTGAAGTTAAGGGACAGATTACAGCCACTCTGCAAAAAATGAGAGTCGGGCTCTCTTATGCATTCTATTTGCTCAATACGATTACATTTTCTGAAGTAATTTTAGACGAATTATACAGCTGGTGTTTGGTATTTATGCCATGCATGCAAAACTTTGTGTGAAATATCTTTGACAGCTAGGTTTACATGGTATCACATGACATTGACCGACTTGTGTTGCAGCAGTGAGGAACAGATGGACACGGGCTCTGAGAGACAATGTTTGTACTTGTTTGTTTTTTTTCCCCGCAGTTTTTATGCTGACTCGCACTTCCACAAAGTTTCACTTAATAGCCTTTCCACTTAGTTTATGCAAAAACAAACTAATGAAGTATTTTATTATTTATTGTAGTTGATAAATAAACAGATAACGATACAAATGAGGAGGAGACTGTACCCATGTCTGGTAACTAATTCATGAAAAAACTGTCACTCATTCATCAAGGAAAAAGAAAAAAATACTTTTTGTATGCACATGCTAAGTTTCTGGGATTAAAACATCCTGACTGAAGGGCATTTATCAGTGCGGCCTCCCACCTATCAGGCCTCTTTCGTAGAATGTCCGGAGGGAGTTTGGTCAGGAATAATTGCAAGTTGGAGCCAATGATCAGTTGTTGTGAGAATTAAGCTGAGCCAAAAAGGCAAAGATTTCATATCATGAGTCGTTCCAACCCTCACCTGTGGACAAAAGATATAGGTAGTGACTGACAGAATGAGATCACAAAGCAAGCTACTGAAATTAGTTTCCCGAGGAGGGTGAAGGGGACTCAGCCTTAGAGATGAGGTGAGAAGCTAAAGCATCAAGGGAAAACTCAGAGTAAAGTCATTGCTCTTTACCATATAGCCTTTCCATCCCAAGAATTCTTTGGAATGTCCCAGGAGGAAAGTAATTTAAAAAAAAAACAAGACTTATTTGGTGACAAAGTGTGTGGTGAGCCATGATTATATAATGGGGAACTTTTTTTTACCCTTTGATCAGATTGGCTTTTGATGTTGTTAATAACCAAAAGATACTCTGATTAGTTCATGCTCTCTCGAATAATGGGAGAGACAAGACTGAATAATCATTCAAGTATTCAATTGCATCAGCCTGCAATCAGGAAAACTTTGAATATAAGGGGAGTTGCGTAAATTGTCGAGTACAATACTGTTACTTCTCAGCAGATTAATAATTACCACCTTCTAACTAAAAGTTCAAGAATAGCAGCCCATTAATTGTGTGCTGGCTCAGTGTAAGGTCATATTGAAACTAAAGTTTTTCCGATTATTCAACACAGTTCATTCTGATGCTCCTCATGAATCTGCTGGGTAGTTCAACTGATTGATGATTTGTCCAATGTACAGAGCCTGCTGCCCTGGCTCACATTCAAGTCATAGTTTGGGCCTTTTGCTTACATGATCAATGTTTAGTCTTGTAGGCGTTTTTCAATCATCAATCATATACAGTGCATGGGGCATTAATTGGAGAATTCCCAAACATACAAAAGCCAGTAGTTATATTCAGTGAAAGGCAAGGTTTTTGTTTTCTCTTCAACTTAATGTACAGCAACCTTAGGATTGTTTTCTCCTGCCTTGACTGTCCACATGCATATAAAACTCTGGAGTGTACAAGGTGAACTTCTGAAGAAGCTCAGGAAAGACCTATAGCTCCAAAACAATATTGTTTGTTGATACACTTCTCTGATATTGCTGTTTTAATTTCTTACTAGGACAACATCAACGTGGACGAAGCAGCGCGGTTCCTCGTAGAAAACATCTTGGCTAATGATAAAGGTTTGCCATATGAGGAGAGTAATGGAGACCGGATCAAACTCGACCAGGAGACTGTGGCTGCTGAGAGCAAACCAGGCTGCTGTTAACACTCAATCCACTCACATTAGCCCTCTGCCTCCCTTTGGCAGGGTCCAGTGAGTTCATCCAGCCTGTGGCTTTAGCTTTCTGTTGCACCCATGAAGAGGAGTAAGATTTTTTTTTTTTTTACTTTTGGGGGAGGGGTCTTGAACCTTCAGGAACCTCTGTGCGCACTGATGCTCATTTGGTCTTAACATCCAAGCTCCTCATTGCACCATCATCGTTATGATATTGCCTTCATCGTTTTCTGTTGCTCCCACTGTGCCATTTCAGGATTTTTATGTTGCTATTCAACCACATGAAGTCCTGAATTACACCATGGTTTAAATGGGTCCAAACCAGTGAGGAGGTTGTGAAACAGAAGCTATTGCTTTTTATTGTCATTTTAGTGTATTTTGTTTTAGAATCATTCCATGTATGTTGTTGTTCTTGTATCATCCAACAGTCTTCTGTAAAACAAGATGTTTTATTGTGCTTCTGAAGGTTACCATAAATGGGCATGGCGGCATGTCATCTGGTTAATTTCACAGCACTTTCAGCTGTTCTCACATTAGACTACTGTTAACTGTAAATGGGCATCAGCATCACAGCCAACCACCGTCAAGCTTTTTTATCATCATGTTTAAAATGATTGTTAATATTTATCATCTTTATTCTTTTTTCCCCAATGAAATAACAACACATAACACTGTTCATTATTAGTTTAATATGGAGTTGGGTCACAATTTTCATTTCTCTTTCAAACACTTATATTTTTACAGTTCAGATGGACGATACATTAAGTTGTTGATGGTACTGCAATCGCACTGACATGTTATTGTATTTAAACCGGTATGATCATGTAAATTAACAATACATGCTTTTGACATTTTTTGCATGCAACTGGTGCAGCATTACAACAGAGTTGGAAGGAAAACTATGCTCTTTTGTACATTGTAATGGTAATCTTTTAAGAAGTTGATGAAATGTAAAGGACGTTTTGAACATGTTTACATGTGATAATACTTTAAATCTTCAAGACCAAAATAGAATAAACATTTTAACAGATTTTGTTGTCTACCTTTGATTACACTGTAGCCTATGTCAAGTTATTCAGTTATTGTTTCTTTACAACTAGCTCATAAATGTAAATCATTAAACATACCTGTTGTACCCATACCCATGTAGTAAACGCAAAGTGTAGTCATGAATACAGAATAAAAATGTTTATTTTTTGGATTTACAGCTAATTGCTAAGAGACGTTTTGTAGATTTGTATTGATTTACGTTTATTATGGTCAAGCGTGGATCATTTGGTATCAGATAATTCACAATGAAACAACAATCCTTGGAATATGATCACATATGCTGGATTACCAGAACAGACAATAGCTAAAAACGTTTTTATGGGGGCATTTGTTCACATACTGCAAGTGACGTTACAACCAGCCCAACCCAGGTTAAGGATCGGTTGCCAGGCAACAAGTAAACTTCCAAGAATTGTGGCAATGCAAAACGAACACATGCCCCTTGAGTTTTTCATTTCTTCGTTACATTGAAGTTTTTGTCCAGCCAAATAAGATGTCCAAGTCACAAGGAAAGAAAAAGGAGTCGTCTTCCAGCAAAATGTCAATATCTGACCGACAGACGGAGTGAGTTTGACTTAACTGGCTAAAAACAGCCGTTGAAGCTAGGGCGATAGCCACATGCCGTCGCAATATTGTATTACATTATATGATACTATATTACATATTTTTTTAAGGGTAGGTGTACCTAATGTTGGATATAGCAAGTTTGAAAAAAGACATGGTGGCCTTTTTATAAGAGCTGATACTGTTTTTAAATTGTTTATGCTAAGCATCATTGTATCTGTGAGCCATTTATCCCCTCTTCAGTGCAGCCTCCCTGGTCACCACTTCATCCGAGAGCATCCCAGAGGGAAGTTTGGGGAAGTTCAGGTTCCCCATTTGGCCTGAGTGGAGTGATGCAGAAGTCAACAAGGAGAAATGGGATTCGAGTAAAGGACCTGAAGATAGGAAGACGAACAAGGGCCCCGGTTCTGTAAATATAGAGAGGAAAATATTTGAAATCGGAAATAAATTTTCTATATGCAACGATATCTTGTGTACAGCTGACCCAATTGACAATGATTACTTCAATATAATGTTGGTTAGTGGTCTGTCTTCATTCCACATTCACTCCTTTAATCCTGTCTGCAGCCGTTTTTTGAGAATCCAGAGGGAAGACTGTTGCTTCCTCCAGCTTTGCAGGTGTATTCCTGGAAGCGCCCGAGCGACTTTATTGGTGAAAAGGTAGCCTTCACTCTAACTATAAGAATGATATGTTTTTTAAATTATAAATACCACATTTTCCACCTAATTTACTTTGAGTGATGTTGATGTAGTTAATTGTTGTAACATCACTGACTAATAAAGAGTTGTAAGTATTGCTCAACCACAGCATTACTCTCAGGCTCTCTTGTCAAATCCCATTAGGTTGCAATCACACCACTCCATCCCATCTACCTGAAGCTTCCTGTTATTTGGCATTATTCCTCTGTAGATAATTTGTTGCTTTTAGTACTGGGTCACATTGCCATAATAATTTTGATAGAGGGACTGCCCATGAAAATGAGGCTTTTAGCTTCAATGGGATGCATTTACAAATGTTATTTTGAAACATTATATTAATGTAAATTGTCCCTCTTTAACAAATACATTTGAATCTAATGTTGCTTTTTCTATCAAGATGGCATAACAATTCAATTAGTATTGTTACATGTGCACAGACAATCACAAAAACAATTTACAAATCCAATGCAGGAAGATGCTCTTCTCAGGTTTTCACCCCGGGATTCCACAATAGTCTGTTTCCTATTTTAATGCTTTTGAAAGACATGTTTCAAAGCTCTTCATAAGAGTTGCTGTTGAAGAAAACAGATGTTCCTTCCTCCTGGAGTGATCTTGTTCACCATCATCTGACCTATTAATTTATATTCAATTAGTACCATGGTAGAGTCTATTATCTTGGTTGTCATAACTCAGACCCAGTCTTGGGAGTGTCATGGTGAGGTTAGACCCATTTTGACATAGGATGGAGCATTATGTAGGTCACTTGTATGATCTATTTTAAATAGGTGATTTGTGGGTGAAATATTATGAGGCCAGTCGTCCTCTGTTGCTATTAATGTTATGCTCTGTTTGAAGCTGTAACTTGGCAGAAGTGCCTGATTGCAAATTTTCAGTTCGTCTTTCTTTGAATGTGTTGAGGATAATGGACATTTTTATGGTATGTTTGATGAAAACAATAATCTTCTATATTTTAGGATCTCACCGTTGTTGAGAACCAAATGAACTTTGACCTGGTCTCCGCAAACAATCATTTGTTTTGTTGTGAGGTGAGTTTTCAGCATTATCGTAGCACTGAGCAGATAGGTTATATTGGCCAGCACATAATATTTATTTAATTTATTTCAAATGTCAGCTCATGCTTGACTGAGACAAATCAATTAGACTTGGGTAAGCAATTGTTTTATTGATTAATCACAAAACTCATGTCCACTTTTTCTGTCTTTTGTTCCCTCTTTTTTGCAATTAAGCTTATGAGGTGGATCATCAGCGAGATTCATATTGTTTGGATGCTTCATAAGAGCACATCCACACAGCAAGATAACTGGAAACCTTGGGAGCATATCTATTCACTGTGTAAGGTGGTGAAAGGTCATGTGCCACTATACAACAACTATGGAAAATACTTGGTCAGACTGTACTGGATGGTAAGCTTGACTCAAACAATTTGAAACACTCAAAATCTTTCTGATTTTGGATTGACATAAGATTGCATTTCTTTGTTATTCACCCTATGAGAATTGAATAGGGATGGACTTAAGGATAGTGGTTCAAGGGATAAGAACCCTATCCTCTCAGAGCACAAATCAATCAGTCTCACTACTGTGCCAAAAGCATTGATGCTTCATACATTGCTTGATGAATAGATAAGCCTGAACACAAGTCAGCTGCTTCTTGCAGAACAAGCGTTGATTTGGATTTATCTACTTGACATTGAGAGCAGTCATAACCCTCCAAGGGTTTGGTCAATGGTGGCATCATTCACTATGATTATGTGTAAATTTTACAGTTTTTGTTCTATGGTGAAGGATGAACAGCGAGACCGCATCCCTGTAAGCTAAATCCCTAAACTACATCTGTGTTTGGGGATATTTCGGGTTAACAGAGAGCAACATGAAATAACTCTTAGCGAAACCTTGTAATGAATGTTTGCATTACTTTCTCTGTCAGCTGCAGCTGACATTGATAGTTGCTGATTGTTTATAGTTGCTGAGATAGCATGAAGCACCCTTCTCCCGCTCCCCATTTCCAGTTCCTTGCCTAATACTGCTTTCAGACTTCTTCTCTATCATTTATTTCTGTCTTTATTGACACACACACTTGCATTCAGATGCATTCTGATTCCCTCACCTTGCTTTACACAATCCTGCTAATCTTCTTCACGCTTGTAACCTCCTATTTTGTGCTGTATGTCATCCCATTTGAACATCAAGCTCCGCTGAGGGGTGAAATGATTTGGCAAGAAGATAAAAAACCAAGTGAGAAATAGTGTGTGCTTGCATTCAAATAGATTTGATATATGAAGAGGCACAGCTTTGAACAACCAGTCAGGCTGCTTGAGTTTCCATTCCTTTGAAGTGGTGTGAAGCTCCAATAGACAGGTTGCAGATGGACAACGCGTATTGTAAGAAACTCTGGCTCTGCTTATGATGCAAGTCCACTTTAAAATAAAAAGAAGTCTAATATTTTCATGAGCTTTGCATTTATACATGTACAGCAACATTGGCCCCAATGCACAATATTATAGCCATGCAACAGCGTCTGTTCAGTTTTGCTTAATCTTCCAGGAACACTGATGATCCTCTTTGTACCATTCTCATTATTTGCTTCCAGGGTTCTTGGAGAAGGATAACTATAGATGATTCAATGCCGTTTGATGAGACAAATAAACTCCTCCTCCCTGCCTCTACTTGTCAGTCGGAGCTCTGGCCTATGCTTTTGGCTAAAGCTCTGATTAAAGTAGCCTGCACAAGGTAAGCTACTAGACATTTTAGGGAACCTTTCAAGCACTCTAGTACTATTCCATGGCACTACATGGTGGGCCTAATGTAAAGACTGCTGTAGAGCTTTGTCAACCTCATTGTCAACCTCATTGTCAACCTCATTGTCAACCTC